TGCCTGCGAGTCAGGGAGCGATCTGTCCATCTGCACTGTGGACTCTGCCTGCGAGCCAGGGAGAGATCTGTTCATCCGCACCGTGGACTCTGCCTGCGAGCCAGGGAGAGATCAGTTCATCTGCACCTTGACTGCCTGCAAATCAGGGAGAGATCAGTTTCCAGGATACACCAAAAAGTACCTCTATGAGAGTCAGAAAAGGAAGATCCCATTAGCTCCTCTGTTATTCGAGGCTAAAGGGACAGCAGAAAGGAAGGGCTTCCCTCAGTTCTTGTTGAGGATAGGGTAGGAGAGAGAACTCAACTCAGCTACACTGTAAGGCAATGGCCAATATCTTCTGCACCATCCTCTGAAAAGGGATAAACACTGACTACCGTGCTCCCATGGGTTTTTAGTTTGCAGTCTCTCGCTATGTCCTTATATGAACAGATCACTGTCACAGAAAACAGTGATTGCTTTTGAAAATAATGAAACCAGATCCCACTCCCCATTACTTTGCTATAATCCGGGACAACCCCATGTGTGTCAGAGCGGCACTGAGCTCCACAGAGCTTTCTGTGGCTGACTTTTCAGAAGCAGGTCACCAGGCCTTTCTCCAAAGGGCCTGTGGGTGGATGTGAACCACCAACCTTCAGGTTAGTAGCCAAGCCCTTAACTGTCCATGCCACCCGGGGACTACAAGTCTCATGTTAATGTCCACATCAGCCCCAGAGGTGAGGAGGCCCATCTGGGCTCCCCTTCCAAGCCGATCAGAGCAGGCAGCTACTGTCAAGCCAGAGAGTCTGCATTTGAGAAGTTCCTTCTTTAAGGCAACTTCTTCCCATCCAATGTCCTACACAGACACCAGTGGGAAAAGGCTTCAGGGGAGCAGGTGATGAGGACTTGCAATTAATACGAGACAGGCTGGAACCACTGCCTGGCAAGCAGGGCAGTGGTGTGTGTGTGGTCACCAAAGGATGGACTACATTCCCTTATAAAAAGTAATGCACTACAGATCCCCAGTGGATTCTGATGCTGGCTGGCAACCAACATGTCTTCCAGGGAGAACTGCTACTAGAAATCCCTTTCAGATGAAGCACTATACACTGAGCCCATGAAGGAGGCTCTGCCCGTTGTCTTCCCAACTCACATTTCCTCAACTTCACCCTCCAGTGCCAACCAATGGGGACCAAGCCAAAGAGGACAAAGGGCACGGGAGCAGGAAGGTTCCAGCAGAGCTGCAATCCATGCATTAAGAAAATCAGTAGTGCAGACACGTGGGAAGAGCACCAGGGACTGGGAACAGGACTATGGCGGCATCACTCTGCACCGTGCCAGGCAGAGGGTCTGTGTGGGGAGCTGGGTTGCTGCCTACAAGTCTGTGTGGCCTTCATTGCTTGCCCTGGGGTTACCTGCCACTACTGTCACCAAGGCACTGCATAACACCATCTAGCACATCAAGGAAAAACCATAAACACAAGAGAATAGTGGCAATCCCCTAGGCCCTGCAGAGAACCTGGTGCAGGGGTGGGCAGTCTACTCTCCAGCAGGTGAGCCCAGGGCAGCCAATGTCTGGGGTACAGACAAGATGCCCTGGGGGGACAGAGACCTGGCGCCACCAACAATCAGTGTTACCAATACTGGTTACTGCTGAGACAGTTACTGCAGAAATGGCGACTCCTACAGAATGACCTGCTTGTTCTTGCCCAGTGGACTGAAGTAGACACTGGCACTCATGCAGGGCCTCTGGGGTCGGAGTGACAGCACTGCCTGCTCTCTGAGCTCATTCCTCAAACACAGAATGAGCTCTGGGTCCTGTGGAAGATGCATGTGAAGCAGGGAACTTTGAAAAGATCTCAAAATATGCTAAACCAAAACCCAATTCACTGCCATCGAGTCAGTGTCCACAGGGCGGCTGAAGAACAAGGTAGAGTTGTTGTTGTTGTTGTTATGTGCCGTCAAGTTGGACCCAACTCATAGTGACCCCTCCTTGGGTTTCTGAGGCAGTATCGCTATGGAAGTAGATTGCCCCATCTTCCTTCCGAGGAGTGGCTGGTGGGTTGAACCGCCAGCCTTCTGGTTAGCAGTCAAGTGCCTTAGGCTCTACGCTACCAGAGCTCCCCGCCGCATCCCTCATCTGTCCTCAGTGGGAATCTTGCCATCTGCAGAAATGCAGAGTATTTGGTAATCAGATCATCCCTTTCATCTCTCTGCCCATATCTATCCCTCTACCTTTCCGTAGTGATACTGCCTCGGAAACCCAAGGAGGGGGTCGCTATGAGTCGGGGCCGACTCGACGGCACATAACAACAACAACAACAACCTGTCTCCCACCTCATTTTGACCTCATTTTACAAAAGACTTAAGCTGGCTTACAGAAATACTTAAAAGAAAAAAAAAGTAAGTATGTCAGAAGCAGGGAAATACATAATTGAGAATCAAAATTCAAGTTCATGGAGAGAGTTAAAGTGCAGACGTGGGGCTTTGCGCAGTTATCCATTCATTCACACTGTCAGTATAATCGACAGGAGTGCTGCTGTTGTCAGGCAGCGTTCTCATTGCTGGGATATGGGAGTGGCCCACGCCTGCCATCACCATGGTGGTTATTCTCTGCTGGGAAAATGGATAATACGCAAAGAGACAAGTGGCACGTGAAGGATGTTAAATGGCAAGGCATGCTGTGGAGAAAAGAGCAAGGAATGGGGGAGATGGGGCCGGGGAGTGTGGACTGTTAGGAAGATGGTGCCGATGTTTGAGCAGAGACCTGGGAGAGGCCTGTGCTGCTTGAGTTACCCAAATTGGACTGTACACTTGACACTGAATTTCAGAACAGAAAACAAGAGGGAAACCAGAACAGTTAGCAGATGGGAAAGGATAGCTTTTCTTGGCACTGACAGGTAAAGGCATTCCTTCAAGTGGCTCTCAAGTAGTGCCTCCTCAGTGATGTGTCCCAGAGACCTGCTTGGAAGGTCACTGTGCAAAGTGGACTTCTAACGCATCTCCATGACTGTTTCTCCAAGTGCCCAGCACTCGTGCAAACCATGACGCTCAGTCTAAGTCATTCTCTCGGGAATGGACACGTCCTCGATCCGTGGATAGGAGCCGCAGCCTGTGCGGATGGATGTTTGGACGGCCTGTCTTACAGACCCTCCTCCTCAGACAGCAGGCCATTGATGTTTCAGTCCTGCCCTGGCTGATAGTCTGCATTGACCCGGAATAGGCTCATACTCTTCCAGGCCAAGCACTCCTTGAGTTGTCTTTGTGACACCAGATTGCAGCCCTCGCCTTGTCTTATGAGTCTCTTCATTTGCATCTGGGCATTTGGAGTCCTGACAGGACAGGTCTGACTGGGATGGTGTCAGGAGATCTTGGGGTGTCTGGGGTCCCAGCTCCTCTCGTGCACTGCTGGCAGGTGCTGCGGGATGTGAGCTGCATCTCCTTCCAAGAGCAGGACTGCTGCCACTCAGAAGCGAGAGTTGTTGGGCATTGCAGGCAGTGCAGCGACATGTAAGGTCGTGGGGTTTAGCACACAGCTCAGCTGGGCTGCGGGGCATCAGCCTGACAGCGTGACAAGGCAGTAGGCCCAGAAGCACTGGTGCAGTCAGCGTACACAGGGACGCCGGCTCGCGGTGGGAGACCTCAGGGGCTCCCTTCAGGGACTCTTCTTTCTTGCTGTGAACACCGGGCTTAAGAGCAGTCACTGTGTAAGTCTTGATTACTGTGTTTATAAATGTTTCAGAATGTGTACATCCTAGTTACTCTCTTGTCTGACTGGCCCAGAATTTAGGACGTCCAGATGATGGGTGAGAGGATAGATGGACGGATGGACAGATGGATGGGCAGGTGGATGTTAAATGCTCACATTATAAGGAAAGGATTGTGATGGTTCTGGCTCTCTTAGGTGAAAGAATGTCACTGAATTCAGTTCAATGTCTTATCATTTAAATTTCAATGTAGCTGTTTTTAGTAGGCAAATTGGTTTTGATTTCTTTGAATTAAACCGTGGTTTAGGGTTGCTTTTTTTTTTTTTTTTTCCAATAGGGAAATGAGATCTTAATGAGAGTGCTTAAGCCACTTCAGTGTGAATTCTAGTGCACCTCTTAGTAAGCAGGGATGTGTTCCCTTCTCCCTCGTGTGGGGAGCACCTTGATATTGGGGACTTTGTCTTGCTCCAGCCCAGGACATCATACCAGGTAGGTGCTCAGTCAGGCTTTAGAAGCGGACGTGAATGTGCTGTGGTTTTCATGTTTGGATTCCCTCATGCAACGCTGCCCCCCAGCACCAGAGAAGGGAAACAAGAATGCCTCGCCGTGCAGTGCATGATGCATGTAGGAGAGCAACTGTTTTTGAAATTTGCATTGAGTAGTGTATTTTGGGGGGCTCTGGTAGCATAGTACCTAAGGCACTTGACAGCAAACCAGAAGGCTGGTGGTTCAAACCCACCAGCCACTCCTTGGAAGAAAGGTTGGGCAATCTACTTCCGTAGCGTACCACCTCAGAAACCCAAGGAGGTGTCGCTATGAGTCGGGTCCAACTTGACAGCACATAACAACAACAACAACTCTACCTGTTCTTCAGCCTCCCTGTGTCGAGTAATCAGGTGACATTGTAAATTTAAAGACATAAAGAGGCTTCAAAAGACCAGTCCTTGGGGAAACCCCCCTGGCCCTCAGCCCTCCCTCAGTTCCTGTAGACTCTCCCCACTGGTGCCCGCGGCTCATGCATGCTTTCCATGGTGAGGTGTGTCTAAGTGTGTCCACAGCATGTGCATTTTCTCTCTGGGATTCCTTATGAAGAGTTTCTAGATTCTTTTGAAATACATCACACTGTACCCAAACCCCGTTCCCCAACACACACAGCACAATGAGAGCCACTGAAGACACTGTCCCACAATTGGAGGTAGAGTATGAACAAGGATGGGACTAGACCACTTTCCTTCCAGGTTTCACCTGAGGCAGTTAAGACCTTGGGGCAATCAGTGGGTGGGAGGGAGGAGGTGTCCCGGCCAGCGAGGTCCTTACCTGCTTCACAACAGTCACAGTCCCTGGTGCCATGGCAACCACAGAAGCCACAGCAGTCGCATCATGAGTCTCAGTGCCCAGCTCAATGATCTGCTGGAGGATGTTCACAGCTGTGGGGTCGAGTCTGTCACCTACGGGGAAGAAGCAAACAGCAGACCATTGAGGGCCTGGCACTGTAGGTCACTGTGCAAACCCAGCCTCTGTTCTCTTGGGCGAAGCCTCTTCCAGAGGCTCCAGGGCTTCTCGGTCATCTCTCATTCTGACCACAGAAGTAATACGTAGTCTCAAAACCCCAAACAACCCTGTGAGGAAGATGGTACTGTGATGACACACACACGGCCCCTTGGGAGAGTGGATGCTTAGGCCCAGAGAAGCAAAGAGACTTATCTCAGCCATGGGGTAACCAAGTCACACATCTGGAATGCAAGCCCAGATGTGCTGAATACAAATGCTGACACAAGACTCCTCTAAGTGGAACTGCCAGGAAGGATCAGTTAATGCATTAAACTGTCAAGTTAGTTTCCCCTTTGCACACAGTAAACCAAAAAGATCAAACATGTTGCCATTGAGTCAATTCCAACTCATGACAACACCATGCGTTACACAGAAGAGCCGCTCCGTAAGGTTTTCTGGATGTAATCTTTATGGAAGCAGGTCACCAGGCCTTTCTTCCACAGCGCTGCTAGATCTGTTCAAACTGCCAAGCTTTAGGTCAGTAGCCAAAAGCAAGTTGTGTATGCCACCCAGGGACCTTTTAGCACATAGTAGATACTCAAAAAAATCTTCCAACTAAATTATATAAATTGCAGGTATAACATCCAAGGATGTCCCAATTAATCAAACTTGTGGGCTTCAGAATTCCTAACGAACTTAAGCTTGGGGTCCTATTTTAATCATCTCACAAGATTGGGATCCACAGCTCCAGAGCAGCTACTTAGTGGACCCTGACATCTCTCACTGCCTGTGCAACCACGTCACTTCCCTGCACATGGCATCCTGGCCCTGACCACTAATTTCCTAAGAGGGAAATGACTGCTTGATCTCCATGTTCCCACAATGTCATGGAGTCTCTCACAACATGTGCATCCTCATGGACAGCTTTCCATGGAACCTGTTCTACGGCAGGTGAATCAAGATGAGATCAGATGGTGTGTCCCAGGTAGAGTGCAGGACACGTCAGGTGACTCGGGCAGTGACGTCAGTCACTTGCACATATTCACGATGCACCACTCCAGGCTTTCCACCCATAGGACCCTGAGCAGAGACACTTCAAATACACCTTGAAGCTGACCACACCAAACATCCAAAGATGCCAACATGGGCCTCTGAAACTCACTCCTTCATGACCATTTCTCAGGCACAAACTGTCAGCTGGCTCTGGATGATACAAATGGTTAACACAGTCTGTGCTAACTGGAAGGCTGGAGGTTCAAGTCACCCAGAGGTGCCTCAGAAGGCAGGCCTGGTGATCTCCTTCTCAGAAACTAGCCCCTGACAAGCCCACAGAGCACAGGTCTGCTCTGACACACAAGATCACCGGGAGCTGGATGGATCTGACGGCCAATTGTTGTTGCTGATGTCTGTCAGCCAGGAATGCTGTGCCTCCTGGGAATGTAAAGATCTAGGTCCCTCTCCTGTCTCCTCCCAGGGCTCACAGCTGACTGGGACAGAGCAATTATGAGAGCCCCTTGGGGAGTTCATACTGGGAGATGGGGATGGGGCCAGTGAGACATTGAGGGGAACCCTGCAGAGGGCAGCTGGGTTTCTGAGTGATGCCATGTAGCATGAATGCTAAAGATGAGAGTGAGTTTGCCAGGAAACATGCTTGGGGAGCAGGTTAAAGGGGTACAGGCAAGAGGAGCTAAGGTTCAGATCATGTGCCAGGGAGCAGAGAGTGTGTGTGTGCTGGGAACTGCAGGGTCTGGTGGCTGGAGCGGAGGCCAGGGGATGTGTGGCAGGCTGGTCCAGCACCCAGGCCATCAGCCATGCTGAGTCACAGAGTCTGAACTGTGTCCTAAAAAGCAGATCTTGCAGGACTGTTAGAAGGAGTGAGTACGTAGGTGTATGTGCTTGTGCCCGTGTGTGCATACACGTCCATGTGTGTGTATGTGTGTGCATGTGTGCATAATCAGTGCATACGTGTGCATGCCTGTGCAGGAGTGTGTGTGTGTGTACACGGGTATGAGCATGTGTACAGGTGTGTATGTGTATGCATGTGTTTTGTGCGTGTGTCCATGTGTGTGCATTTGTCCATGTGTGCACTGCATGTGCATGTGTATGCGCACATGTGTGCATGTGTTTATGTGTACAGGTGTATGTTTGTGCATGTGTGTGTGCATTGCATGCACTTGTGGGGGGGGTGAAGACAGACTGCATTCTACAGGTCTTGAGCAATCACCGAAGTCAATGAACATGAAGGAAGAAAACATGAAGGCATGCAGTTCTCGTAACTGCCCTGAACAGCTGAACTCTCCCATCTGCAGAATGAGCCCCCTCCTGTGGGCTGCCCTGTGGAGGCGCTGTCTCTCAAGTCCCCTTGAGCTCCAGGTAGTGGACACAGCCTTGCCAATCAGTTTCCCCTAGCCTGCATAGGCCAAAGGAGTTCCCTTTGCAGCTTTCCTATAACCTGGGGTTTAAGGATTTATGTGTGGGAGGGAGTGGTGATTTCCAAGCTCCTATGTGTATGTTGCTAATGTCAGATCGATGTTGGCTGAAAACAAAGAGTACCAGATAGATGTTTACTTGTGTTTTATTGACTATGCAAAAGCATTCAACTGTGTGAATCATAACAAATTATGGATAACAATGAGAAGAATAGGAATTCCAGAACACTTAATTGTGTTTATGAGGAACCGGTACATAGATCAGGAGGCTGTCGTTCAAACAGAACAAGGGGATACTGGATGGTTTAAGACCAAGGAGTGTGTGTCAGGGTTGTATCCCTTCACCATACTTACTCAATCTGTATGCTGAGCAAATAAGCTGAGAAGCTGGATTATATGAAAAACAACGCAGCATCAGGCTTAGAGGAAGACTCATTTACACCCTGAGATATGCAGATGAAACAACCTTGCTTGCTCAAAGTGAAGATGACTTGAAGCACTTACTGACGAAGATTAAACACTACAGTCTACAATATGGATTGTGCCTCAACATAAAGAAAACAATCTTCACAACTAGACCAATAAGCAGCATCACGATAAATGAAGAAAAGACTGAAGTTCTCAAAGATTTCCTATTACTTGGTTCCACAATAAACAGCAGTGGAAGCAGGAGTCAAGACATCAGATGATGTATTGCACTGGGCAAATGTGCTGCCAAAGACCTCTTTAAAGTGCTGAAGAAGGCAGGATCAAATCTGGAGATCCTTGATAGAGTGGGAGGAAAAACGTGGAACAAAATCCAAAAACTCGATAATGACCAGAATTACTGGTCAGATGGAATCTGGTGAGACCCCCAAAACTATGGTCCTGGGATACATTCTGTGCCTGGAATAAAGCTCACTCCCAAGGGCTGGTTCCCAGCCCAATAGTAAATAAGATGTACATGCAGACCACTCAACCCAGGGTGATGATGTACCCACATACTCTATGGAAATGCATCCCATAGAGCAATTGACCACAGGGCACCAGAGAGGCAACATTCACATAGAGGAAATGCAGGACAAACAGGAGTACATAACTATGAGGGGCACAGAGGGAGGGTTACTGGGCAGGGAGGGGAGGAGAATGGGTTAGGGTTGGGCATGGTAAATGGGGAGTGAAACTAAATGTACACATAATGTTGAATGTAAAACAAACTCTTAAAATAAAGAATTAAAAATAAATAAATATAGTGCTGAAGAGCAAAGATGTCTCTTTGAAGGACTAAGGCCAAGCCATGGTATTTTCAACAGCCTCACATGCATGTGAAAGTGGGACAGTGAATAAGGAAGACTGAAGAAGAGTTGGTACTTTTGAATTGCAGTGCTGGTGAAGAATACTGAAAACACCATGGACTGCCAGAAGAATGAACAAATCTGTCCTGGACGAAGTGCAGCTGGAATGCTCCTTGGAAGCGATAATGACCAGACTTCATCTCATCTACTTTGGTCATGTTGTCAGAAGGGACCATTCCCTGGAGAAGGATATTGTGCTTGGTAAGGTGGAGGGTCAGCGAAAAAGGGGAAGACCCTCAACGAGATGGATTGACACAGTGGCTACAACGATGGGTTCAGATATAGCAAGGATTGTGAGGCAGGTGCAGGATGGGGCAGTGTTTCGTTCTGTTGTACTTAGGGTTGATATGAGTCACAGTCTATGGCACCTAACAACAGCAACATGTCTCCTATAAGAAGCATTGTTGGCACAGTGGCTGCCAACCAAAAGATCAGAGGTTCAAATACACCAGCCACTCCACAGGAGATTAGGCAATCTACTTCCATAAAGATTTACAGCCTTGGAAACCCTATGGGGCAGTTCTGCTCTGTGCTATAGGGCCACAATAAGTCAGAATTGCCCCAACAGCAGTGGGCTTTTATCTCTTAATACCATTTGACTTTACCTAGTACTTTCCTCTTAACGCCTCCCACCTGCTCAGCCTCAGTCCCCCAAAAACAGACAGGTTGTGGCATGGGATGCTGAATTATGTTCTGTTCATATTTTGGAGAAAGCATCAAAAATAGATGCCTTCTATGAGCAATGCGTCAGACCCCAGCTGGCACAGCAGATTACTCTTTAACATGATCTAACTTTTAAAATTCATGACATTTGACACAAAAATCCTCATCTTCTTCTTACAAGAACTGGGAAGCAGAAGTCCTGGGCCCTGTCTCTGCCAGGGGGCCTCAAGTGGAACTGACAGCAGCTGTGCACCTCAGTGGATGTTGGGTCCTGGCGTGGCCACAGTCTCACCCTCTCCAGTGGCAAAGGCCACACCATCTCTGCTATTGCCTGCCTGGTCCCGTAGGTCTATGGTCTGAGTCCGGAATAGATGTCCACAAAGAAGCAGGAATGGTGAAGACACCTCAATAGGAAGTCAGGAGATCCAGATTCCAGGACCAAAGTGGGTGACCCTCAACCAATCACCTACCATGAAAAGCCACTTTCTGCTTCTGAGACAGGAGAAGAGTTAAGATCTGCTTCTCCCACAGATTGTTTTGAGGGTCAAATATGACAGAGAGTGGGAAGTATATTCCTGCACATCTCTGGAGAGAGAGATGCCAGGTGCCCAACAATGGGCCAGCCTCTGCAGTCTGAATGCCAGTCAGGCCCATCACCTGACTAACTTCACTCCCTCCCAAATGGACGCTCTCAGGACGTGTGTTAAAGGCCTGTTCTAGGGGGTACACGAGAACCGTGAGGAGACTCACCACTCTCAGAGGTGTATCTCAGGTCCTGGAGTGCAGCCACCGCAGCCTGCGTTCCCTGAACGTCCTCTTCGGCTTCTGTGATGTGGAGGTACTGGGTGGATGGTTCCTCAGGAGTTTCTGTGGCTGGCTAAATAAAAATGCAGTATCATCTAAGTGACCTTCCAGAATATTAACAGTTACCCAGAAGGTGCAACATCTTGCATCAACACCAAGTGAATGCACACGACCAACTCATACTTAGTGACACCCACATATTCGGAATCCCTGGGAAATTAGTTGCTCCAATAAATCTGTTTTCCAGAAAAAAAATGTCTCTTTGCAAGTCTCAAGATACATGAAAAACAATTTGGGTGGAAAGATTTCTCCTACACAGTCTTGCCTTAGGAAACAGAGCGTGCTGTTAGGATGAGCTTGGCTATGCCTAGATCTGCTTATCTGTGCTTCTAATGGCTGCTCGGTCTCCTCCCACTGCTACCAAGACTGTCTCCGATGCACCTCTCATACTGGGGCCTCAGACTATGTGGCCACTAGAGGTAGGGACACAGCAACGAAGCAGCTGATAGTGGCAAGAAGAGCGGTGTGGATAATGACATAACACCTGTCAATCTTGTAGGATCTCTGGCGGTATAGTGGTTAAGGCATTTGTCTGCTAACCAAAAGGTGGGTGGTTCATACCCACCAGCCACTCCATGAAAGAAAGATGAGGCAGGATGCTTCCATAAAGATTTACAGCCTTAGAAATCCAATGGGGGTCGCTATGAGCCAGAATTGACTCAATGGCAGTGAGTTTGGTTGTTTTGGTTTTGTCAATCTTGTAGTGGAGAGCTTGGCCCACAGAAAGAGCTGAGTAAATCTTACCTTTCCATGTCAACTTTATTTTTATAAGACTGATATGATAAACAAAGCCAACCACACATACATACAAATGTATTTGGGCAAAATTAGTACTCTTGTAATGGGTATGAGGAAGAAGTACTGGTGGCACAATGGGTAAGCACTTGGCTGCTAACTGAAAGGTTGATGATTCGAACCCACCAGCAGCTCCACAGGGGAAAGGCAGCCTAGAAAAGGGGCAGTTCTACTACATCACATTGGGTCACTGTGAGTCAGAATTGACTCAATGGCAAAAGACAACAACAACAATGGCTAAGAGGAGTTAAAATAACATTCGTAAGTGCCTTGTATCTCAAAAAAAGAAGAGGGGGACAGGCTTTATACAAGACCTAGATATTAATAATGATCTCTTTCCGGAAGAGTTGGGGGAAGCAAACAAAATTGTAAGGCAGGCAACATAAGTATCACCACTAAAGAACACCAAGAAAGACTTTAGACAAAATGTATGGGAGCCAACATTACCACGCTCTAAAGCACTTATCAGTAGCTAACACAGAGTTTCAGAAAAGGGTGGGCAAGTTTATTTGGGTATGTACAACCTGACACACAACAGACATCCAGTAATATTTGATGAATGTATCAATGAACAAAGCTCTGGTAGCCTAGTGCCTAAGGCACTTGACTGCTAACCAGAAGGCTGGTGGTGCAAACTCCTCGGAAGGAAAGTTGGGCAATCTACTTCCGTAGTGATATTGCCTCAGAAACCCAAGGAGGGTTGCTATGAGTCGAGTCCAACTCGACAGCACATAACAACAACATCAATGAACAAAAAGATTCATGGTTCCTCTTGAGTACCTTTAAACAACATATTAGCCACACTGGTGATATGCCATTACTAAGTGATGCCTTAGACTGTGAAAGAACAGGTTGCACACTGAACAGCTTCCCCATCTCATTCTGTGTGACAGTCACTTGAGGGAAGGAGGGTGCTCACTGCCAGGCATTCGTGAGAGCCAATGGCAGCCAAAGCTGCCAGGAGAGGCAGAGTGGTATCTACTGGTGACCAGCCATGCCAGCTTCCGGGCTGCTCTGCTGCAGTGGCGTCAGCTATTTATGTTGGGTTCACAGCTCAGCTGTGTTGGAATCTGGCAGGCCTTTAGAGATGAGGGGCACTGCTGCCTGTATTTATAAAGGTACTTCCCGCCCAAGACCGAGTTTACATCAGGAGTTGTCTATTTTGCTTATAGAGAGCAAATCTGTGGAGTATGAACTTGACACCTGAGGGGATTAGTTGTTTTACTCTAGAGAAGGATGTGATGTTGATGACACCACCACCACCACCACCACCATCACTGTCATCTATCATTATCACAACAGCGGCCAGTACTGAGGGCTTTTTGGGAACTAGATTGCTGGCCTTAGCATTGTATGCACTGCTTCTCTCGAGCCTTTTGTCCTTCCAGGTATTGTTACCTCACTGTACAGATGGGAACACTGAGGCCACAGAAGCTAATAATGGCTCAGAGTCAGGCAATTTATAGGTGAAAGAGACAGGATTCAAAAGAAGTCTGTCAGACGCCAAAGCATATATATAGCCTTTTATATCTTAAACATTGTTCACAGTAAATTCTAAATTAACACAAAAGCAGAGACATGAGTATAATGAGCTTCCACATCCCCATCACTCACATTCCACTTGGACAGGCATCCATGCTGGCCAACCGTGTTTCATCTGCATCCTCATACCATCTGCCCCTTGCCCTTGAATGACTTTGAAAAAGCAAACCAGAACCCATACCCTTCATCTGTAAATATTTCAGAAGGTTTCTCTCGAAGGTGAAAAAAACTTTTACAACATACTGCAATACCACTAAGGAGAGCTCTCTGGTGGTACAGTGATTTAAGTATTTGGCTGGTAACCAAAGGTTGGTGGTTTGAACCCACCAGCCACTCTGTGAGAGAAAAATAAGGCAGTCTGCTTCCATAAAGACTGACAGCTTTGGAAGCCCTATAGAGCAGTTCTACTCTGTCCTACAAGGTCACTAGGGGTGGGGATTGACTCAATGGCGGTGGGTTTTGGCAATAGCCCTGTTACCCTGAAACCTTTAACAATCTCTTAATATGCACATACATTTAGGAAGTATTCAAATGTCCCCAATTATCTCAGTTTCTAACAGCTTCGTTGTTCAAACCAAATCTAAGGAAGGTCCACGCATCAGAATTGATTGCTATGTTGAACAAGACTTTGAACCTGCTGGTTCTTCATTCATCTTTTTCCGCTGGTAGTTTCCTTAGTGAAGAAAGCAGACTGCTGCCTCCCAGAGTTCGCACCAGGCTGGCTTTTGCTGATTATGACCATGGAATCATAAAACCTGCTCGTATCCCCTCTGCATTTCCTGTAAATCAGTGTTCAGATACAGAAGCTTGAGCAGAGGCTGGTTCCCTTTTCAGCAAGAATGCTTCATGGGTTATAGTGTGTGCTTCCATTAGGAGACACAGCATAAGCGGCCATCTCTTTATCTGTGATGTTGGCAGGCAACTGCCAATCACTACTATCTCCATTACATGGCTGCTGCTAGCTGCCGCTGAGTCTGCCTCCAACTGACAGCAGCCCGTGCGCAGCAGAAGAAAACGCTGCCCAGGGCTGCGCCATCCCCGTGATCGGTCCAGATTCAGCCACTGTGTGTCACAGGACTTTCACTGGCTCATCTTCAGAAGCAGATCTCCAGACCTTTCTTCCTCATTTTATCATTAAAATATCAGTATTCTAATTCTGCACTGTTTGCTGAGATACTTCTATAATGAGAATGCTCTCCTCATCAAAGACTTGGTTACCCTGAGGTCTGCTTTGTTTGGGAAAGGAGTAATTGCTTGATTCTGGACCTTCAGTTGTTGTTAGGTGCCGCTGAGTCCTCTCTGACACATAGCAACCCTGTGCACAGTAGAACAAAACACTGTCCAGTCCTGTGCCAGCCTCATGATCCCTGCTGTACCTGAGCCCGTCGTTGCAGCCGCTGTGTCCATCCATCTCATTGAGGGCCTTCCCCTTCTTCGTTGACCCTCCACTTTACCAAGCATATCCCTCTCCAGGGAATGGTTCCTTCTGACAACATGACCAAAGTAGGTGAGTTACCAAAGTAGGTGGAACCTTTAGTTATCAATTCAAAATAAAGAGTTGATTCCCTGGCATCCTACAGAGGTGACTTGTCAGCTGTTTTTTCACAGTATCATTGTAAATTCATGGAATTAACCACATTTTATATGTTTCATTGCAGTTACTAAACACTAACAACAGCCTCAGAATAACAATACCACCCCTACCACCACCAACAGAGTACAGTAAACAGTGAATTGTTTGGAAGTTCATTTTGCCCTCAGGTTATATATTCACTAGGGAGATACAATGAAAATACTATTTTAAAGTCTCTTGAAACAGTTCATCTCTGTAGTTATGCTACCAGTTTGATACACGGTTAGGATCACGTATTTCATTTTACTCTCAATTTCTAAGACTTGCTTTTTTAAAAGTTTAATTTTGTTTTTACTATTTTGTAAAATATTTCCAAAGTTTCAGAGTCAAAAACTATACAACCTGGTATGCTAAGAGTAGTTCAGCCTGTCTACTTGTCCCCTCCATCTTGTTCTTTCCCCACCCTTCCCACTTATGACAGCCTCCCCATCAAGGTCCCTGGGTGATGTAAATAATTTGCGCTCAACTAACTGGAAGGTTGGCAGTTTCCATCCACCTGGCAATGCCTCAGAAGAAAGATCTGGTGATCTGCTTCCATCAGATTGCAGCCACACAGAGACCAATGGACTGCAGTTCTACTCTGAACCACATGGGTTTCCGTGAGTCACAATCAACCCCACAGCAATGGGTTTTGCTTTTGTTTTTATGAACTATTTTATTTTGCAATAATTTTACAGTTATGGAAAAGTTTCAAAAATAGTACAAAGAGTTCCCCCATATCCTTCACCAGCTTCTATAACACTAGCATCTTACATAACGGTGGTTTGTTGTTGTTGTTGTTATGTGCCGTCGAGTCGAACCTGACTCATAGCAACCCCTCCTTGGGTTTCCAAGGCAGTATCACTACGGAAGTAGATTGCCCCATCTTCCTTCTGAGGAGTGGCTGGTGGGTTTGAACCACCAGCATTCTGGTTAACAGCCAAGTGCCTTAGGCACTATGCTACCAGAGCTCCCCATAACGGTGGTACAATTATTCAAAACTAAGAAATTAATATTGGTACTATACTCTTCAACTATAGACTTTACCCAGATTCTGTTAGTTT